TATGAAATCTTTTGAATTTTTATCCAATAGTAAAGACGCCATTTCAAAATAACATAAAGGAGTAATATATTCATCAAGATTTTTTTTAATTTCAAATTAATTATTTTCCAATCTGATATTTATTCAGAAATTAATAGCTGATTTTATTTATTAGGTAATATTATTCAATACGTCCCATCTAAATTGTTTATTTAAGAAACCATAATCGATTGATGTAATTGTACTAATATATAACTAGTATTTTCCCACGTTATGAAAATTAACAAGCTAATTAAGTTTCTAATTAATTAAAACACATATTCTCTATTCAGAATCATATATATAATCAAATATGAAATCTTGGAATCTCTCCCATTAATTATTAAACTTCCAAAATTATATGGTCTTTTATCTACTCCCAATACTAATAGATTTTGATATTTATTTAATATAAAACTATTGATAAAACTTTAAGAAATGTGATAAACTTTTTCGGGATAGATCTATTTATAAAATATATTTTGATAATTTGCTTATTAGCATTCTATATATAATATGGATGACATTTTATCTATATTGGCATACTAATAGCATAGTTTTTTCTTAAAGAAAAAAGAGAATCGAAAAGTCTTCATTAAATGCTATCAAATTAATTTCAGCTTTTGATTAAGATTGAAATTCTGATATCTATTAGTATCTATATGATATTCCTCCCATTGATGCCACAATAAATTCTTAATTTATAAATATTATTCTTTTTGTAAAATATTTTCTTGTAGTTTTCAAACTAGATATAATTTTTGCATTTAATCAGAAATTTAAAATATTTTTAAACAGAAAATTCTTTTGATATAAAAAGCATTAAGTAATTATGTTTTAGGGTAAGAGATAAATCAAAAATATTTTAAATGAATATATGAGATTTATAATAAATTGTAACTTTCTTAATATATTTTATTAATTTACTTATTCTGTTTATTAATCCATTGTATATATTCAATAATCATAAATAAATATTTATTTTTATTTCCAATATTTTCCTAATCTTATTATTCATCAACTTTGCATTTTGATAATTATTATACATGATTCATTTTTGGAGTGAATATTTTATACAGAAGAATCATCAAATATTAGAATATCAACAGTTATACTAGATTGGAACTCTCTTCTAAAAATGATTTTTCTTTGAATTTTATCAATTAAACTGAATAATTGCCTCCCATATATAGTAAATATTGATTACTGATAAAAGATTATAGTGTATATATAATCGAATATAATTTTATTGCTCTTTCAAATTGAAATGTTAATAAGAATCAATTATAAATAAGTGTAATAGACATCATAACCTATTTATAATCATAAATTTATTAAATGTATTTTCTTAGCTGTTTAGTAATTTAAATAAAATAACATATTTTTAGTAGAAAATACAATAAAAAAAAAATGTTGATATTTATTTTATTATATGTTCATTTTCATGAATTCAATATTCATAATCATATTCCTTTCTATAGTTTTTAAATTAATAATACCTTTTGAGAAAATTTTTATTAAATGCATAAAAATCTCTCTTTTTCTCCTCCCATTTTCCAACTTTTATCCCATTTTAATATTCACCTTGATATATAACCTAACATTAACTAAATATTATTAAAATCAAATACTTCTAAAAAGTTTCACTCAATTCAATCCATATTCCATTTTTAATGCCTCCTTCTGTTAGGTCATATGAGCCTCCACCTCTTTTTTTTAAGTTAATTAATAATTTTTTACATCTATTCTTAATTTTCACCTAAAGTTTCTTGAAAATAGATATCCCATTTTCCTACTCTTTATCCATTTTTATATTCTCCATTATAAGTCACTTAACTTTCTCTAACTAATACAATATTTCTTTACCCTCTAAAATTATCAAATAAATCAATCCATTTTCCCTATTTCAATCCGTTCTCAGAGTTATAATCTCCACCACCACTTGCATTAATACATATATTATTTACATCTAGTTAAACTGTTCCTCTTTTCTTCTAAAATATGTATTCCATCTACCAATTCTTTAATTATTTTTATATTCACCATCAAAAATAATTTAACATTGTCTGAATAATAAGACAAAATCATTATACTTTGAAAAAGTTAAACTCAACTCCTTCCATTTTCCTTCCTTCTTTCCTAAATCTATTTCATTATAAGACCCACCACCTCTAATATTCAATGGTTAATCATTTTACATCAAATGAAAATCTTTTTCTAGTAATTCTCTCCAAAAAATATCCCATTTACCAATTTTTTTACCATCTTTGTAAACACCATTATAAGTGATTTATTCAAATCTAAAATTAATTTAATTATGATTCTTGTACTTATCAACATTATCACTTGTTTCAATCCATTTTCCATTCTTAAGTCCTCCTTACTTTATTTCATAACATCCACCTCCACTTAATTAATAAGTATAATTATAATTACATCAACTCTTATTTTTGAACGTGATTCCAAAATAAATTCCATAAACCAACTTTTTATCCATTTTTATACTCACCACAATAAGTGATTTATCTTTTAGTGTTTAAATAATATTTAATGATTTTATACCTATCAGAATGATCATCAAATTCAACCCATTTTCCATTTTTCAATCCTCTTTCATCATACTATCCACCACCACTAAAATTAAAATTAAAATAGATTATATTAATTACATTTTTTTCCTTATATCAGAAAATTTATTACTACTCAATTTATTCCATCTACCAATTTTCTAACCATTATTATATAACCCATTAAATGTTATTTAGCTACCCTTAAAACTTTAATTTCTAATCATTCATTTACATTCCTAAATCAATTAATTCTACCCAACTACCAATTTTTAGCTCTTTACCCTCTTTATCATAATACCCTTCTCCACTAAATAATAACTATTTATAATCCATACATCACTTTAAAGGATTAATACCCATTCATCCTCAAACATTCAACCCACAAACCAATTTTTTTACCATTTTTATATTTTCCATTATAAGTGACTTATTAATAACTTATTTATGTTTTTATATATCAAATTTACTTTGTAAAAGATTTACTCAACTCAATCCAATTTTCATTTTTTATTCCTTTTTCATTATAATTTCCACCTCCTCTACATAAGAGAATGTAAAAAATTAATACACTTCATAATCCTTAAATAAATATTTCCATTATCCTCTCCTTTAATCATCAACATACTCTCCAACTTCATATACTGGTGATTATCTATAAATTATTATTATAAAATTAAATCTTACTCCATAAAATTACTTGATAATTCTACCCAAAACCCTATTTTTTTTCCTTCTTCTGAGTACTTACCCCCTACATTCTTTAATTTATGACCTTTCCAAATGGCCACCCAATTTCCAACTTTTTTAAGATTCTCCCCATACTACCCAACCCATTAAAGATATTTGATTTATTCTAAATTATATAGGATTTGTGGAGTCCCTTAGGGGTCTTTATTGTAATCGCTAAATTTAAATAATTTATATTACATTCTCATTATTTATCCGTCTTTAGTAGCATACTTGATTTCTGTTTTATTATTACTAATAATAATAAAGAATTTGGTCTTCAGAAATCCATACCAATACAAACTTTCACCTTCTAGCTCCTAATATTAATAAATTTTAAACCTATAATATCATCTTTAGATTTTTAATGAATTTTTATGGATTTGTTGATTTTAATTAAACAAATTTTATTATTCTGATAAAGTGTAAAATACCTTTACTAAAATAATTTAATTTTCATAAGACTTAACATCAATCTGATATCTATTTTAGTGGAATAATAATCATTTAAATATATGAATTTTAAACTAGTTTATACTAGGTGTAATGTTTATATATATAATGGTGATTATAGAGTTTTTCTACAAAGTATTTGCAATAGTTTGAGGGAATGCCTAAAGAGAATAGGTAATTGAATTATTTTTTATATATTTATGATATTGTTTTTAGTGTTTATTTTGAAAGTGCATAAATAATTTATGTAAAATTTAAAACAGAAATAAAAATTTTGTGGATGTGAAAATATGGAGTATAAATATTTCAAAACCATTTATTCTTATGAATAAATAATTGAATAATCTGTAGTTCGAATAAATTAATAAAATTTCCACTAGTGATACAATTTTAGAAAAATTAAGATAGAACAAAAATAATAAAATATAAACAGCCTTATTTATAGATTTAAAGTTCAAATTGACATAATTATTTAAAAGATATTATATAAGAATAAAATTTAATAAAAAGAATTCAGGGCAGAATAAAAATGTTTTTTGACCAATAAAAGGATAAGAATTGAATTAACAGCAAGCCTTGGCTATTTTGAGATTTACTTTTTATATTTTTCTCTGAATACTAATAATTCTTTTTCATTTTTCAATTGCTTACATATTTATTGATTTCTGTTTCTTACTTTTATCCAAAACCTTTAATCTTAAGAAGTGATGAAAAGACAGTTTTATCATAAATCAATATGTTGCATTTTTAATCATACATAAGCTTATAGTTTGTTTTATGGTTAATAACTTTAAGTATTAATTAATCAACTACGAATTAATTTAATATACACATACATAATCGTTAACACCATCATTATCATTTTGAATAAAATAGATAATCTATAAACATTAAATCTATCACTTAACAAATTGTTTAGAAAAGTAGGAATAAGCTTGCATTAACATAATTCGTCCTTTTTATAAACATAATTAAGAATCTTTTTAGTCTAATTTATTTTTATGTTTATTGTTAAATAATTACAAAATGAAATTTAGAAAGTGATAACTAATAAAAATTACAGTTTATGTGATCTAATTAATGAAATCAAAAGCAGTTACGAAAAGCAAATTAGAAAAGAAAAAAAATCACATTCGACTTTCAAATTAATTTCTGAAATATTTAGGTGTATTGCAATAAAATATTTGGAAGAAGAAATATCTCATACTATTAATTTTCCTTATTTTATGAAAAAGTATAAAAAATTGAGATTTCAATAGAAATATATCTAATATATATAATTATTTAGGTATTTAAAATAATCCTTTTAAAAGAAATTAGAAAATATCCTAATATTCTAATTTATTTAGCGATACTTAACTTGGGGATCCAATTATTTTTACTTGTATAAAATAACTTTATTTATCCAAAATCTTAAATTCACCTTAGTTTCAGTAGAGTTTTCTTTTTGAAACTGGTGGTTTATTGAAATTCTTTTGGTTTAAACTTTGTAAATCGCATTTATAATAAATCAATTATAAAATAAATATGTAATTTAAAGATTGGTGTAATAAAATTTTAAGATATTATTTATCCAACTCTGGATCCAAAAAATCCCCAATTTTTAAATTAATTATTTTAAATAGTGATAGATTACATCAGTACACTATTCCACAACTAAAGTATCTTATGAAACTAATTTTCATTAATTATAAGTACATTACCCTTAACAATCGAAAGCTAAATTTTGTCATAAAAATGGTTCAATAAGTATATAAGATATAGATTAGAAAATAGCATCTTTAATAACTAAACTTAATCAAATTGTTTACAATAAAAGATTCAATAATTAAAGATAATAATATAAACAATAGTTAAAATTAAAATTATCAAATTGATTTAATAAATAACAAATTATACTTTATTTTAATCACTTATTGTTATTGTTTTCAGCTATCTAAAATATGTTTCTAACATCTAGATAAATTGGATCCATCTTCTTTCTATTTTTCAAATAATATGATTTAACTTTACAGAAAAACTAATATCCACACCTAACTAAGGGAGATGCTAAAGCTAATACCAAAAAACCAATTTAAGCAAATCCAAACAATATTTATTAATCTAGTTATAAATAATTTTAAAAGTCAGAGCAATATATCATACAAGATAAAGTAAAGACCATTACTGGTGCTTCCATCCAAATAATGATGAATAAATCAAGTTTATTTGTAGTAAAATCAATATTAATTATTTATCCAAGATACCAAAATAATATGCATGTAAGTAATATACATTATATAAGTGGGCAACTTTACATGATAATAAGAACTATTAAAAATAAGAATTTTTTAATTAAAATAATATCATCATGCTATTTATTTCTTAGTTCCCTCAATATAATTTTATGATTATTTCTTTTGCAATTTTAAATTATAATAATTATTAAAGATACTAAGTATCCAATAGAAAGAATAGTAGAAATTATAAAATTTCTCAATTTTTCTATAAAAAATATGCCATTTACCAACTTTATATTTATTTTTATATGAGCCAACATGGATTATTTAACTATCCCTAAAATTTATTAAACTTTTGAAATACATTTTAAAATTATCGCTCAATTCAATCCATCTTCCTATCTTTATAGAATCCTCACAATCAACTAAATTCTCCAAATATGATCCACCACCACTTTTAAAAATTTATTATTTAAGATTATGTTACATAATCTCATTTTGCTAATTTTATTTAAATATTGTATCCCATTTATAAACTTTCATACCATTTTTATATTATCCTACGAATGTGATTTATCTATCCCTTACAATTTATAGTCACTCTAAATACTTCTTATAATTATCAATCAATTCAATCCAATTTCCAATTTTCTAAGATTTTGCTAATTGATTGTTATATTCCTTTGACTCATACGATCCACCACCACTTTCAAGAAATAATTAATTAAATTAAATACATCTTTTCATTATCTCCATTTTAATTCCAAAAAATTTGCCAATTTCCAATTTTTAACCCATTATTATATGAATCTTTATAAGTGACTAAACTGGAACTTTCAACTTTAATAATCATTTAGATACTTAGAAAAACAATTACTCAATTCAATCCAGCTTCCAATTTTAATCGAGTTATTATTACCTTTCTTTACTTCATAAAATTCTCCACCATTTTTAAGTATAAATTTGATAATTACATTAATTGAAAATTATTTCTCTCTCCATTGTATACCATTTACCAACTTTATTACAATTTTTATATACACCATCATAAATTATTTGGCATTTACTTATAATTTAATAATCTTTATATACTCCTAAAATCTTTCACTCAACTCAATCCATTTACCATTCTTTTAACCAAATTCATTATAAATTCCTTGAGCACTTAAATAAAGTAAATATAAATATTCTTACATCTCTTAATCTTTATACAAATACTTCCATATTCCAGACCTCCTAGAATTAATATATTCGCAAACTTCATATACTTATGCTTAACTAATTGTTGTAATAAAAATTTACCTTCGAAAATTATGAAAGAGTTCCTTCCGTTTCCCCTTTTTCTTTCCTTCATCAAAGAATTTAATATTTTGAATACCATCATATACTCCACCAGCATTTTATAATTATTCTCCTTTCCAGATAGCTATCCATTTACCCTTTTTATTTAAATTCTTTCCATATTCTCCACACTATTAATGATTATTTATTTCTTCTTTATTGATCCACATACTTTAGCTTGCTGATTTTGGAATATAATTTACTTAATCATTTCTTAAATATGAATTTTTAGCATTTTACATTAATAATTCTGGTAATTTGGGTATAATATCTTCAATTTAGGACTTATTTGAATTTTGGATACTTAAACTTTAATTAATTGAAACTGATGGACCATTAAATTCTGAAATGATTTCCCAATTCAAAAACTTATTTTCTACAATCAAAGATGAAATACTAATGTCTAAATTATACATATTTTCTAGCTCATCAACCAAATCATTTATTTTTATCCTTTAAATTGATTTGTTTAAAGAACAATCAGTCTATATATTTAAACGTTAGACAATCATTTTATTCAATATTTCTACTTCTTTATTCTATAGATTTTTTTGTGCTTTTATTATCCAATTAATTTATATTTGAGAAATAATTATATAATCTTGAATTTTATCTAAGTTAAGTAGACGAAAAAATTATTTTCCTACCAAAACTTCAAAAAAAATCACTCCTAAACTCCAAATATCTACACTAGCATCGTATTCTTTGCTTATTAATATTTCAGGTGCAATATAATCGTAAGTTCCATTGACAGACATAAATAAATTATCATCCATTTTTTTTGCAATTCCAAAATTTATTAGTTTAATTTTTCCCTTTTGACTTATAACAAGTTTTCAGGTTTTAAATCTCTATGAAAATATCCATATTTATGTAATATTTAGATTGATTTTGCCATCTAATTATAGTAATATTTACTTCTAAACATGTTTATTATTTATTAGCCAGATTCATTAAATCAATTTAATTTCCAAGTTCCATTACGATATAGCATTTTCCTTTTTAAGTCTATCCAAAAGCAATAATTTCAATTATATGATCATTAATTTATTCTTTAAGGATTTTAAGAAGTAGAATTTATTCGTTTGTAAATTTTTCTTTATGTTTTTTCAACGCAACTTTTTTCTGTTCATTTTGATTCAAATAACCCTCATAAATTTTCGTTTTTGCTCCATGCTTTATTTTATTTGTTTTGGTAATTTTTATGCCATCAATCTCAATTATTTTTTCTATTTCATTCAAGAAAAATAATATTATTAATTTTGTTTTGAGTTTACTTGAAAATCCTGAAATTTTTATTCTACATATGCTTTTTAATTGCTAAAATTATGTAAAGCATTACTTTAACATTTAACTATTTAGCTTTATCCTATCAAATCAAAGTAGAATTTAATCTAAAAATATACTTCAACTTACATATTAAGTATATTTTTTAAGATAATCTTGAGATTTGAAATAAATGATGATATTCACTTTTAAGATGAATGAAAATTCTAAATTTTAGACCAGATTGATAATTCGATTTAATTATATTTGATTATTCTCATTTTGTAAAGAAATCATAAAAGTTTGAAATTATGTTTTACTTTAATTAGAATTTGAAAGAATATATGATAGTAAACCTTGAAGATTTTGATACAAAATAATATATATATATTCAAAATCTAAATATTTTAGTTTAAAATTGGATTTACTTATTTTTGCATCCCATTTAATTTAGGATTTAGGAAATTTAACATATAACAGGATTTTTAATCAATTAAAAGTATTTTAGAATTAAAATTTTAGTTATTGTTAATCACACTTGATCACTAGTTATGTCATTTTTATTTTTGCCATAACTATGTGTAGATATGTATTTTCAATCCTTTATTATTACTCAAAACAAATAAGATTTAATATTCTACTAATTTTTTTCCTATTCATTCAAGACTTTATTAGATCTGTCTAATTCATATTTAATAAAATTGTTATCTACCTAAAATCACTTAAATATATATTATATTTGAAATAATAATCATTTAGACTTTACAATTTCTTATTAAATGAGCATCATTGAATAATTAAT